CCGGAATTGTCAAAAGGTAGTGTTTATGTATGTAGATTTACTAATCTATACTGAATACACTCTGCCGTGGTCGGTGTTCATGTGAAAACAACGCCCTTCTTCCAAAGGATTAACCGGCAATACATTGATTGATTGCCCATTATTGGCTAACTAAATTACTGTTTTTAATGAAAGGCGGACATTATGCAATTAGTTGACAGGTGTGCTATCTTGGGTGACCAATGAGACTATACACCAATACCTGAAAAGATTTATCACTTTTTCGTATATTAAACTGTTAAAAGACACATCATTTGGAACAGTTTTGTGGATATTGATGGATACATTCCTCAAACAAGGTAATGGCCTGATATTGTTCCTATAACTTTAATCTGTTTTAATTTTAATATTTGCATTTTGTTTTTTAATCATTTGTCGTAGCATTCAACAGAATCATTGTTTTCACCAGAATGAAGTGTAATGAGACAGACAACATACACTAGGGTGTGTGTGCGAATTATGATTCACATTGGCAAACTATAAAATGTCTAGATATTACAGTTCTGTTATAAATTCACTATAAGTATCAGCAGATCGTCAGCTTTTTATTTAGTTTCAAAATGCATAAAAGTATGATAATAAACTAATTAGGATTATAAGACCAAATATAAAGACGCATTACTGACTAGTATCTACATACTGGTGAGTGGACATTAACCATGTGAATGTAGCAAGAAATTTATCGCGCAGTATTGTGACTTCGACCCCACCTCGCCTCCGTGGAAGAAATCGTTATGTTATAAGTTGTGTCATGCAAAATCCTTTTGGTTATGATTCCAATACATATTTAACTACGAGTAGAAAGTAGTTTTGATTTTCTAATTTGATGAAAACAAACTATAATCTCATTAATTCTAACAGACTTTACGATTTTCAAAATGATGGCGCTTCTGTCGGAACATCCGCCAGTCTGTGGATAAATGCTATTTAGGTTTGTTTTCACCGAAGTTACAAAAATCAAAACTACTTTCTACTCATAGTAAAATATGTATTTTATTGATGGCCAATAGGATTTTGCATGACATATATGTGATAACATAACAATTTCTCTCCTGGCAGCGAGGTGGGTGTCAATATAATACTACTTACAATATTATTGTTACTTCGACCACAACCTCACTTCCGAGGAAGAAATCGCTATGTTACAAGTTGTGTTATGGGAAATCTTTATGGTCATCAATCATATACATATTTTACTATAACTAGTAAGTAGTTTTGATTCTTTAACTTCCGTGAAGCGATCTGAACACAAGTAAAATATCGCTTCAGGCTTCCACAACGCCGCTTCGCGACTCACAAACATAACCCATTTAGCACGAAACCGCGGGATCCTGTGGAAATCTGTGCATGGTGACACCATCACCCGACCCCTAGGAGCAATTGACGACAAAGCAATGATTCGGCATGTCGCCGCTCATGTCGAAAATCATCAAAATGATGAGCGCTACACACTTTCTAATATACAACTAACTGAAAATCGTTCCTCATATGACGTCACTGCAGTGCTCTGGCGACAGAGTTACGTAACCTGTCTGTGGTTTCGTTGGCGGGCGAGAGGGAAGCAGGCGACTTTTTGGCCACTTTTAATCGCTCGGTATTAATTAACCACAAGTCTTTAAAGAATAAATTTGGTGTTCCGCATAAGACTAACCACAAATCTTTCATATGTAATGGTTAAAAGAGTAACAAAAAACAAAGTTTAGTGGTTCTTTAAACCTGCGAGATACCACATGGGAATTCTTGTGCAGACTGTACTTTGTGCTCACCACAACAAGGACATGGTGGCTATATAACCCTATATAAGTCCTTCTACCCCCTCTTTAATAATGTGAAAATGAAACAGGAAATCGTGACTGTACTCATAGTTAGTAACGACTGTCTTTATGTGTGTCATGTCATGCTGTTATATAAATACAGCAGAGCACAACTACATTACAAGTCATGCTGTCATATGAATACAGCAGAGCATAACTAGATGACATGTCATGCTGTCATACAAATACAGCAGAGCACAACTACATGACATGTCATGCTGTCATATGAATACAGCAGAGCACAACTACATGACATGTCATGCTGTCATATGAATACAGCAGAGCACATCTAGATGCCATGTCATGCTGGTCATATGAATACAGCAGAGCACATCTAGATGCCATGTCATGCTGGTCATATGAATACAGCAGAGCACATCTAGATGCCATGTCATGTTGTCATATGAATACAGCAGAGCACAACTACATGACATGTCATGCTGTCATATGAATACAGCAGAGCACAACTACATGGCATGTCATGCTGTCATATGAATACAGCAGAGCACAACTACATGACACGTCATGCTGTCATATGAATACAGCAGAGCATAACTAGATGACATGTCATGATGTCATATGAATACAGCAGAGCACAACTACATGACATGTCATGCTGTCATATGTATACAGCAGAGCATAACTAGATGACATGTCATGCTGTCATATGACTACAGCAGAGCACATCTAGATAACATGTCATGCTGTCATATGAATACAGCAAAGCACATCTAGATGCCATGTCATGCTGGTCATATGAATACAGCAGAGCACATCTAGATGACATGTCATGCGGGTCATATGCAGAGGTACAGATAAGCTGCGTATCTGCGTAAATTACGCAAATATTTATGTGAAAACTCAATTCCTATTACGTCTGTTGCGTACAAGTACGCTTGTATTTTTGTAAATACTCAATAAGTTTGATTGTACATGCGTACACAGAAAACTATCAAATCTTAGCTTGCGTACCAGTGGATAGATAAAGCAACTGAGGTATATTTAGAAGTTCTATTTCGGCACATGAACACTCACCTAGCAGTCTTTCATATCGTTTCTCGTATTACAGATCAAATATAAATAACAAACACTAACATTTAAACTTTATTATATTTTAACATTTAATGGGAAAAGGCAAAATACCCAATTGATTTTGAGTGAGGTGAGTACAGTTTGTTTGGTTACTCAAAGGAAAATTAGGATACCCAATTGAGATGAAGACAAGCGGGTACATAACTCAATGACCCAAAAAGTTATCTGTAGCTCTGCATATGAATACCGCAGAGCACAACTACATTACATGCAGTGTTTCCATTCTCCGGCATATGCTGGCTTTTTGCTGGTAAAAATGGCCAAGGACCGATAAATTCAAAAGCTGCCGGTCCTCGTGTCCATGTCAAATATAGATAACAAACACTAACATTTAAACTTTATTATATTTTAACATTTAATGGGAAAAGGCAAAATACCCAATTGATTTTGAGTGAGGTGAGTACAATTTGTTTGGTTACTCAAAGGAAAATTAGGATACCCAATTGAGATGAAGACAAGCGGGTACATAACTCAATGACCCAAAAAGTTATCTGTAGCTCTGCATATGAATACCGCAGAGCACAACTACATTACATGCAGTGTTTCCATTCTCCGGCATATGCTGGCTTCTTGCTGGTAAAAATGGCCAAGGACCGATAAATTCAAAAGCTGCCGGTCCTCGTGTCCGGTAAACATAAAATCATAAGATGCATAATATGTCATGGTGGTCATGTGAATACAGCACAACTAGATGACATGTCATGCTGCCATGTGAACAGAGCAGAGCACAACCCGATCACATGTCATGCTGGTCATATGAATACAGCAGAATACAGCTAGATGACATGTCGTGCTGGTCATATGAATACAGCAGAGCACAACTACATGCCACGTCATGCTGTCATATGAATACAGCAGAGCACATCTAGATCATAGCTGACATGTCATGTTGGTCATGTGCATACAGCAGAACACAACAGATGACATGTCATGCTGCCATGTGAATACAGAAGAGCACAATTAGATGACATGTCATGCTTGTCATGTGAATACAGAAGAGCACAATTAGATGACATGTCATGCTGGTCATGTGAATACAGAAGAGCACAATTAGATGACATGTCATGCTGGTCATGTGAATACAGCAGAGCACATCTAGATGACATGTCATGCTGGTCATATGAATACAGAAGAGCACAATTAGATGACATGTCATGCTGGTCATGTGAATACAGCAGAGCACATCTAGATGAAATGTCATGCTGGTCATGTGAATACAGAAGAGCACAATTAGATGACATGTCATGCTGGTCATGTGAATACAGAAGAGCACAATTAGATGACATGTCATGCTGGTCATGTGAATACAGAAGAGCACAATTAGATGACATGTCATGCTTGTCATGTGAATACAGAAGAGCACAATTAGATGACATGTCATGCTGGTCATGTGAATACAGAAGAGCACAATTAGATGACATGTCATGCTGGTCATGTGAATACAGAAGAGCATAATTAGATGACATGTCATGCTGGTCATGTGAATACAGAAGAGCACAATTAGATGACATGTCATGCTGGTCATATGAATACAGCAGAGCACATCTAGATGACATGTCATGCTGGTCATGTGAATACAGCAGAACACAACAGATGACATGTCATGCTGGTCATATGAATACCAAAGAGCACAATTAGATGACATGTCATGCCACTACACAACACAACAAGATGTTTATGAGTTGGTCAACAAATGTTAAGGAACAACATAGTAATGTTGATCAACATAGTAATTTTGATCTAAATCAAAGAATTTATGTAAATATGTTTTGTATCTCTCTCTCTAATGTGTCAGTAGCTCTGCTGATGTAACACAAATTCATGAAAAGGCATTAAAGTATTATTCTATTCTATTCTATATAATGTGACTAACCAGTACAGTACTTGAGTTACCTGTCCCAGCCCTAGTCCAAACACATACATTCTACAAAAGTATAAACAAAGGGCCCACAGATTAAATTATGAAATAAGTACTGGTTACCATGGTTACATTATGAAATCTATTTACTAAAACATGCTAAAATGAGAAACTAAATCGGCATAAAATCTATTTACCACAGTATATAACCCTCAGCACGACACTGACCTGGTATGTAACCACAACGCGTTGTGTTAATCCTGAGACAGAAGCGAGTTCCTTGTTACCCAGCTTGGCTAACTGTAACTGTCAGAATGATGTAGCCTAGTCCAAAGTCAGCTGAAGCAGGAAGTGTATTACGTGAACGGTCCTGTGACTCAACTACCGTCATCTAGTGCATAGAGCGTAAAACTAGGTCAGTTGGCACACCATACACAATCCTACAATTATTATTGTCCTGTACACAGACTTAAACCTACACGGGAAACCTAGGAGTGACCCAGTCTGAAAATAACTATATTATGTCCGTTAATCGGGTTTACAAAATGGAAAAAGTATCTTGATGTTAGTTTCCCCTTAATATCATTGATTGTGTCAGGCTCTGAATAAACCTGTATGCATGACTGACTGACTGACTGACTGACTAAGTTTTGGTTTTACGCCGCTTTTAGCAATATTCCTGCAACATCACGGCGGGGGACACCAGAAATGGGTTTCACACTTTGTACCCATGTGGGGATTTGAACCCGGGTCTTCGGCGTGATGAGCCAACGCTTTAACCACTAGGCTACCCCACCGCCCCTGTATGCATGAACACATAGTGCCATTCAGAAAGTGGTCAAATGTAACACATATATATGTCATATTTGGCATTACACCTTCTCAGTAAGGTACAGATTCTAGTCCCATCCCGGATTCGAACCCACACCCTGTATGTGACACGAATATCACAAATAAGACTATCTGTCCAATTCACAACAAACAAAATAAGCAGACATAAATTTAGAATTCTATCACAATGAGATGTAGTTTGTTTGTTTTTCTCTGGTCTGTGTCATACACTGGATGTATTGTACCGTGATCTGCACATCTAAACATAGTATCAAGCCGGCATGACTTGGAGTCCCGCTCTGTTTACATAGGATATCACGATAAGGTATTTTTAACTGCTCAGGATCAAACATTATCTGTAAAGACACGATACAGACTATCAACTGACTACCTGTGTATTGGTTAGAATGCTGTGGATGTCAGTCTATACTGACTACCTACACATGTTATAATGACCACCAACTTGCTATTCATAATGTAATCATATACTTAAAATAATCTTGTAATTGCCACAGATGTGCATGGCAATCACCATTTTTTTAAGAACCAGATGTCAGTTAGTTAGGCAGTTTTGATTGGACTATGCATTAGTCCAACAAAACTGTAACTAAAACATTCTGTTCTCATACAGATAGGGGGCAGCAGGGTAGCCTAATGGTTTAAACACCTGCTCGTCACGCCGAAGGCCCGAGTTCGATTCCCCTCATGGGTACAATGTGTGAAGCCCATTTCTGGTGTCCCCTGTCATGATATTGCTGGAATATTGCTAAAAGTGGCATAAAACTAAACTCACTCACTCATACGGATACGATGGAAACTGGACCTTAATAGTCAGTAACTCCCTTGGCTTAAGAAGATTGACCTCATCAAATTTATTTTTTATTTAATCCATGTGTGAATTATTTGTTCTCCGTCGTGTAGTAACTAACTACAATATATGGTGAAACAGACATAATGAATATTTTAAGGCACACTGGTAGGCTTAGTACATCAGTGCAGGAATCCCTGTCTAACAAAAAGTACAATCTTGTTGTTTCCTGTCACTAACCAACAAGATTTACTTTCACTAACCAAATAGTTTGAACTATATCATAACACTGACATCAATGTATTTAAGTTACATCTGGTCACATTTACCACCGACAGAGTCCCATCCTAAGCTGCAGCAAGGTTGAAACTGAAGGTATCACGTACAAAGATACCTACAGATACTTCCTCCTGATTAATGTGGCCTACTGGTAATTTGACCTATGTCCTTCTTTCTGCAATTACCTCTACCAGTATCATATGAAACAATCAAGCTTATCACAATGTTGTAGTGAGTGAGTTGGGTTTTACGCCGCTTTTAGCAATATTCCAGCAATATCATGCCGGGGGACACCAGAAATGGGCTTCACTCATTGTAGTTGTACCCATGTGGGGAATTGAACCTGGGTCTTCGGCATGTCAAGCAGATGCTTTAACCACTAGGCTACCGCACCATCCCCACAATGTTATAAAGAAAAAAAGGATAGAAACAAACTAATTGATGACGAAGTAATTAATTGAAGTTCACCAAATTTATTTTACTGCAGTGTAAATCTTTATAACATATTTGCTTAATCATTATGCCATTTGTTATAAAATATTCAAAGACCTACAAGTTTCACTGCTCATTGTCAGTTTGAAAAAATATACATGATTTTTAAAAAAACAACTACACGTGTCCTTAATCATCTACCTATATGTGTCACATACTTAATTTTACTCAAGATCAAAGTTATTGAAAACCAAAAATACCACAAACAACTTGCTGATTAAAGCCTTAACTTTTCCACTGGGTACTGAAGGAAAATTGAACTAACTTTGAAACCTTAATACATGCAACATTCCCACTCACCTGATATCAGACATTTTTAACTTGATATCCAACAATTGCTTCAGATCAAATACCGGTACATTACTGAAATCTATTAATTGAGAGTAGGTATACCAGATAAATGCCTTGAAGGCACAGCTTAACACCAAATACCATTATCATCATTCAAAACTATTACATAACACTGCATGCAAGATAAACCTGAACTCCATAATCAATCAACTTCTAATCCAGAGAGCAGTGATGCATATCTAAATACCAGGAGTGTCTGCAGCTGGTCTGAGTGTTGCCTGTAGGTGCAAATAGCTACTGTACAATATATTTATACGATCTATCCAGAACACTGCTCGAAGGAATTAGCAAATACTGAAAACCACTGAAGCATGGTAGGTACTGATCAGTGATAATCTGATAATGGCACTGTTTTTTTAAACAGGGAGCCTCTAAATTAATGGATGCGTAGACCCAAACATGGTCAATTATCACAGCTTGCTTGAACTGACTGACCCACAAAATGAGATCACCAAATTTTACCCTTGATTTGTCATAGTTTTAAAGGAGGGAGTTGCATGTCATGTCACGATAAGGAAAGTCATATGGAAGTCTCATAGTGGGTCAGGTTTCTTAGGTCACGTCACTGTTGCATTCAGTCACTTAAATATTAAACGATGATAATGAAATAACACTGTAAAGATTCCACTGAAAAGAGTCAAACATAGAAATTATATTATTGGTACAACTGCACTTATTTGCTTTGACTGAGCAAATCATCAATCAGATACTGGATGAAACATTTTGTAAGACAGGGAAGGATGCCCTAGCATCCAAAGCAACCTGTTCAGTCCGTTTGATTTCATTTGAGACGGATGAATTGCTCACTAACACAAAATCTAATAACTGCAACTAAAACAAATTTTGCACAGTCACATGAAATCGACAGACCAACTCAGATGATTTATCTCATAATTTTGGACACCTGAATAAAAAAGTTGTTAAACAAATGATCATTATTTTGTTGTCACTTTTCGCTATTTTTCACGAGGGGGTACCATTTGCTAGTAGAACAACCAGGTGTGTGAGTTGCACGTGGGAAATTGAAATTTCACTACACACGCATGTTGATTTTGTGTTAGTGAGCAATTCCTCGGACTGAAATGAAATCAAACGGACTGTAGTTGGAGATGTCCTTTGACAAAGAAAAGTAATTACATCTAAGTGGTTTGCCAAATATGTTTAAATTACCATAATTATTCAGATGAATCCTAGAACTAAATGCAACATAATTTCCCCAAAACTGACACATCTGAAACTTGTTTTCACTGACTGGCGCTTCTATGATCAATATTTTAGTTTTAATGCAACAAAGGACACAAAGAGAATAAAAATATTTCCTTATGAAATCCAAAGTGAAATTAAAAATCTCTGGGAATGATTTTGTATGGATTTTGAGGAAAACATTTTTATTATGTCACATCATATTTCTCATTTGATTAAAAAAAAAATGTAATTGATCAGAAATTGTCACAGCACTAATATTTAATAAGAAAAAATGTTACAAACTGTGCAAAGCATTTTCAGGAACACAAGTAAGAAGCAATATCTAGAAATGTCAAATAGTTTTACTCTTATCCATTTGTGCTTTCATATGCTAAGTAACATGCAATAAGAAAATACTGTTCTGGATGAAACTAATGCAATTTCTATCCTAAATTCTATTTTATCTCAACTACCTCATCAAGATTGGAATAGAATGCAAGATAACTTTATGTCATTTCCAGACAAATTATTTGTGACCTCTATGACAAATGACATAAAATTAAAAGCAAGTTTAAGGGGACAGATGAAAGACATGTTCGTGACACTTGTGCATATTTCATTGAAAGTTTCTTCTTTAGTGTAGGATTGTGATTATAGGACCCCTTGCCTTTAGTGATGAATTAATCTACACACTTCTGTGCTGTAATGGTTGATGTTTTAGGGAAAATATATTATTCAAGCAATAATACATATGGCCAATAGTTTGATGAGAGTATGTTTCAACTTGAAATCAGCAGGGAAATAACAATTTAATAAAGGAGATCCATGTCTAGTTTAATGGTAAATTAATAGTAAATAGGAATTTCAAATTAATACGTATGTCATTAATAATTTGTGAAACTCACCTTGATTGAGGTTTACAGGAATGTTTGGAAAAGCCCATTCTAAATTGTTTCTCAGATTCACAACCACAACCGCTTGAACTTAAACTGTTTGCATCACATAAGCAAATGAAATATGAACAAGACAGATTTCAATGAATCATAGTCGAGATCGTGAGTGCAGTTTACAATCAAACCATTCACTACAGTGACAAATAGAACATGTTGCAACCATCTATTTTTAGTAAAACGTGAGTGAAAGTACTTAACAATGTCATAATAGGAAAGAGTTGCCCGGTCACTAATCGATGTCATTATCTAAATGAACGAACATACCGTCGCATGTATAACATATCACCTTACCTGATTGTGTTTCGATAAAGCAAACAGGGCCCAGTTCATTAACTCATCCCACCAAAACTAGGAAGTGGGATTGGCGAGATAAACAGGAAGTTCTCCGTCGAAACGACAGTGCGCATGCGTAACATTTCGTAAGCTGTTTATAAATAATGTTATTGAGATGTAGTAAAATAATGTTCTTTTTTAAATAGGATCTGTTTATTGTTAATAAATAGTCATACCGAACAAAATATCGTGTGCCCAAATTTCGGTAATCTTCGTCAAATATTCCGTAAATACCAATGACCAATGAGAACAAATGTTTAGATCTTGCCGACCAATCAAATGCAGGGACCGTGTTTGAAAACCTGTCAGATGTCTTCATTCGGTCACTAAACTTGCCAAGAGAGCACAGTGAGGTGGTAGTTGGAAAGTTTCGAATAACCGCGAAACCGAAAATGTCTGCCAAACAGATATATTATTCCGACAAATATACGGATGAGGATTTCGAATACAGGTGAGCATGTAATAATTTACATCAACCTGTTTGAACAAACACCGCTCATAACAAGCACTTGTTGCAACTTGTTTCAAAACAGCGACGGTTTTTTAAATACTGGACTTTCAATGAACGCATGTGAATAGTCAAATAAAGTAAAACAGTCTCCCCAGTTAAACATACATTCTTCATACTAGAGGGGTATTATTTGTATGATCTGTATTTGTACAAGTAAATCATTAGCAGACGCTGAATCGCCTTGGCTCCCAATCAAAGTAGCCCCACGCCGGCGCGAGATTTTGCATAAATCAGATGACATGACATACCCTTTAACAAGAGTGACTGTGATCACCGTGGATGCTTGGAAACATGTTCCGAACGCTAGATATGATGAGTGAACTTGCAAATTTTGATACAAAGTTGGAAATCTTATAACACTTCTCCCCACATGTGCATGTCAGTAAGCTTCTGACAAGACAGTGATAATAGCCTGCATGCGTTGTCCACTAAAAATTGCATGAACTGGTGAATTATTACTAGATATAGCTCCAAGATAATTTTTTGACCCAATAAAAGTTGAACCCAGATGTGTTATCTTCAGCTGTTCAATCACGTTGGGTTTCGCCTGCATCTCCTCCTCTTCTCCCCCCCCATTTTAAACAATGTGGAATATATTTATTCAGGTAATAACATTAAATGGGGAGAGGGAGAGATATGTGCGGAAGTCTTTCCACAATTGGTAGCATAATTTCAATAGCATATTAGCAGTGCCACAACTTGTGATTATGATCCCTACAGTCAGCAGAAAAAATTCCGCCCGTAACCCGTTTTTTATCATTCTATGCCTGCGATTTATTGTAAGAATCGATGTTTTTTATAGAAAGCCTATCTTAACCCCAAACCTAACATAATCATAATGCTGAATTTAAACCCCAACCCCTGGAAATAATAATAAATAGAATACATTTCAAGCGGGTGTGGCGGAACTCTAGCCCAGTCAGCAACATCAGACAAACAAGTTGTTTTTTATAATCTATCTGACACAAACTTGGCATCGCATTGTCTGTCTTACTGATTTAGTCTATGGACATCTTGTCTTCTAGTCTACAGACACTTATGCCTATCATGGGGGGTCCAGATGCTATTTTGCATGTGATGTATTGGTCAGGGTGGACTGATACCCCATATAAAGCAAAAAGGAACCTAACCCAGCTTAGAATTTCAGTGTTTCTCTGCATCAACCTAATTATAGGATGTAGTGACTCTTGTGACCATGTTAGTCTCTCTGGCACTGTTGTCATAATAAAATGAAAGTACACAACTCGGATGTTTCCACTTTAATCAGCAGCAATATGACTTTGTTACAGACACGTAATGCTTCCCAAAGAAATTGCCAAACTTGTGCCAAAGACTCACCTAATGTCTGAACCAGAGTGGAGAAGTATTGGTGTCCAGCAGAGCCATGGCTGGATACACTACATGAGACATGAACCTGGTAAGCTGTTTATGTCCTCAAAAACGTTTTGAAGAAATAGCGAAGGGAAGATATGTCCCTTGTGAAGTAAATCTGTTATGAGTTCCAGCATGAAGCATTGATATTGTGATCCATTGTACATTGCAAATAGAAATGATTGTAACTGCTTCTGCAGAAATGAAAAGAAGTATTTTCTGCGTAACATTTAACAGGACTGCAGGGATTTACAGGATGCAAATTCCTGCGTCCTTAGCTCCTATATGCATAATAATTGACAGTGGACACAACAAAATATATTAGCGCATCCACAGGGACTCAGAAAAAGTCTAAATACTTGTTGTAAAAATTCCAATCAAGTGACGTTATCACTGAGTTTGCTACTAGCTAGGTTATGGTATTTGCAATTGAATTACTGTAACAATGTGATGATACACAATACAATAACAGTATTAGTAATAATAGTATTTAAGTGTCTGGGAGCCCCCATTTTGTTGTCCAGGACCCCTGAAAATTAAGAGTGTGAGTCCCAGGGACCCTCAAATACAGGGCTTCATGTACATCCCTGGGACAGGAAGACAAACATTTGTTTCGAGTAGTCAAGAAATTTAGTACTTCTTCAATTTATAGTGAAGGTCTATCCATTTTTACTTGCTCATAGATTCTTTCATATTCTAAAAAGCTATTATTGTGTACAATTCATAAGAGATCTCTATCAATTTTATTGATGAAGCATGTTCATGATCTGTAAACTGATTTTTATCTTCATGTTATTTAATCACTCATCAAAATCCCTTTTCTTCCAGAGCCTGCACATACTACTATTCCTTCCAGAGCCGCTCATACTACTATTCCGACGGAAACTGACCTCTGCATGATCACACATCGTCCCCATTTTCAACGCCCACATTTGTACATACTCAATTCACCGTCATGCGATCGATCTACCTTCAATCAGATGCCGTCCCCGTACATCCAGCATCTGTGGATCTTCCGCCACAGACAGAATTGTTGCATATGCTCCAGCAGCAGGGCAGTGCTATATCCCAAGTCCCGAACATTACGTTATACATAAAACCTCCACTGTGAAGTGAGCATTGACATTAAGATGCGGTTCAGTTCCAAGTGACATTCTATAATGTGTGGACTACAGCAGGTTACAAGGTATCAGTCTCTCCAGTCTTTCATGGCATACATGTTGCAGTGAACATTGTGTTCAGAGTCATACTAGAGTGTATTATGTGTCATTCCTTCTGAGATCTTTGTTTATTGTGTAGATATCTTTCATGTCTTTTTTCCTAACTCTTATGCTCATTCTTACACTTACTCTATTTTCTTCGAGAACTCAGAATAAATGACTTGTCTTGACTTTGATTTCATGTCCTATATTATATGTTGATAATACGTTTGTCGGCTGAAAGAGCTGTTAAAAATTGACCCAACAGAACTTTACTTGACCTAACAGTACGTGTCACCTTTGACATGTGCTCATGGGGACATGACCCGTAGAAAACTCATAATTATGTCAAATTGTTGTATTATCAGAACAGTCTAACAAACCCTAGTATACGGTCGCGTCATCTGTCCTTTGTGCGACCTATGACTGTCCAATCAAACGCGGGACAGACAGATTTAACCAATCCGACAACGGCTGCTATTTTTAGGGTTCGGCGGGACTTGCAGTTCCCTTTCAAAATCACCAATGACAAGGTTAAATTTTTTAATTCTTTCAGAATTCAGTTTGAGTTTCTGTGTGAAGTGTTTTTGGATTTTCTCTTCCCAGGTCACCAACACTTATCTCTCTAATGAAAATCTGCATAAAACAGATGTTTGACCTGCAGTATATACACTTTAACAAGGGGTTTCTGATGACATGGTTACTATTAGCTTATTTACTTTCTGCAAGATGACATCCTGGAATATTGACAAAAACTCTTATTTTCAGCGACTCTTTACTCGCTGTTTAAGTGTTGTGAATAATGGCATCCTGTGTGTATCACTCAGAAGCGATTGTGCGAAAAATAGCATTCAGAATCATTCGAATACAAACATTTTTGAGGTAAAAGTTCAAACGGTGTTCTGATTGGTCAATTCAAAAGGTTAGGTGACACGACCAGCTTGGGTTTGTTAGACTCAGTATAGCAGTGAAACAAATAATACTGAGCCTAAGTTTACTTAGACTGAGTATCAGAAACTCTTAATGATAGTGTTCCAATGGGATATGCAAATTGATAGTTTCATGTTTTGCTCCATTCTCTTCCCACAGGTTATTTGTCATACCTTCCTACGAACCTGTTCTAATACAGCCATATTTCCTGGTTCTTGTAAAATCCCCTATCGGCCAAAAATCGCAACACAATCATCTCCCTTCTTTCTATCCAATCAGAACACGTTACATAGACTTAGAGCCTACCTGACTAATACAAGCAAATGTAGGGCCACAAATATCCTTTCTCTGCCGGGGACTTGTGTTGATGTGACACAAAATACATTTAATGGCTATAGCTTGTTCAGCTTGACCTGAGCTACTCTACATATGCATGACCCGGGAGGTCAAATGGCAGGTCGGGTTAACTTCATTAAAAAGGGGAGCAGAGAATGTTATTAATGTTGCGTTCGTACGAAGCATGCATACATGGATTCGTTACAGAACTTGTCCTGGAAAACAATACTTCTGAGAAAACAATCATTTCATGTTTTAATTGAATTGTTTATACAGTCATATGCTATCTAGTTTGGTTTACTAATTTTACAACCTCTCGGCTGTTGGGACATGTTGACAATCAACTGACAAAAGTGCACCCCTTCACAGGGTTCCAGATAAGGGCCGTATCGGCGTATGTACGGATAGAAAATATGCACGATACGGTAGGAAATATTTTGGAAAACGTAGCAGATACGCACCACAGCAGTGGCATACGGTCTTAGAATCATTTAGTCGTATTTATCGGAAAAAAGCATTGTTTTATTGTTCATTGACCTGTTTACACAAGAGTAGCAATGTTGTGGTGCATATATGAAACGAAACACAAGATTACTGATACTCCAATAATTTCCATTTAGTACTCTAAATGGACTCTTAGGTTTTCCAGTGCTCATCTGGAGCCCTGCCTTCACAATAATAGATCCAACCAGTTGTGACATGGTCACGCATTAGTATTCACTTGATCAGGTTAAGCTGAACAAGCTGTAGCTTGTCCATTGTCAACGAGGGCGATGGAGAAGCCATTGATCCGCCATCACATGACTGAGTTCTGTTTAGAAGAAACGTTTGCGCATGTGCATAGTTTTCCCGAAGCATACAGAAATTACTGAGGCTTTGTAAAATGATCACAATTGAAACATTGCTGATTGCACAACTAAATCTGATTGCAACGAATCGAATCATGAACACTCACACCATGAAAGGGCTGTATTAGAACAGAGGTTCGTAGTAAGATATGACAAGTAACCTCTATGGGGAAAAGAATGGTTTTGCTCTGGCATTATATTTTGTAGTGTTTAGTTTACAAATGAGGAAACTGTTTTGGTTTCTTTGGGTTCTCTGTATAAGTTCATATGCCAAGTGTAAAAGATATGACTTTGTTTTTGTATTGTGATGTGTGGGTACTATACTGAAGAAAAGGTTGTGGGTCAAGCTGAAAGGATGCAAGCAACTGAGAAATGTAGAATTGGTTCATGTACATTGAGATGGACAGGTGATGAAGGTATAGTCACATGTATTTTCCCTCCACAACTTTCAAAATCTCTCATCTATACTAGGCACAAGAAATAGGGGGGCCCCCCCAAGTGGAATTTATAGTAGAAACAATGCTACATAAAATTTGCAAGCTTATTGCATTCAAACCCAGGGCGGGAATCGCCTATGGCTGACACCACAGTCAGCACCATGTTACCTTTACATGATACACGTGCATTCTAGACTATAAAACTGACAGTGAGCGTGTCCCACTATCTCTTGTGAAAATGCCACCTCAAGCGTACCTAACAGACGCACAGAAATGGCAGGCCATTGGCTTGATAGAGGGTGGACAATGTCAGATTAGGGTTGCCTGGTTCTCCAGGAAGTCCAAAAGCCTCAATTCCCATCTCATCAACCTTTACATTGGGAGTTAAAATGAGGACCGGTTGAGGAAGACGCCCTAAAACCACCCCCAGACAAGACAACTTCCTGAGAACTATAGCTCTGAGGAATCGATTTGTCACAGCCCCACATTTGAAAAGGGAAATCTTCAGAGCCACAGGAACACGGATTTCAAACTCTACCGTACGAAACAGGCTCAGGCTCCGTAGCAGAGGTCTAAAGTCAAGACATGCATTCAAAGTGATGATGACAGCTAACCACAGACATCTGCATTAATGATGGTCAGAGGTGGGGAAACCAACAATGGGGACATCTGATGTTTAGTGATGAATAGTCCTTTTGTTTTGTGATTCACGGATGGACGATTGCGTTTGTGGCGATGCCGGGGAGAGCGCTATGTGAGACCCATGGTACAGGAACACGATTCTTATGGAGGCGGCTATCATGGTCTTGGGAGGAATTTCTTTCAATAGGACTGATTTGATTCTTGTACGGGGTAATTTGACAGGACAGTGGTATATGGACGAGGTCTTCCGGCACACGTGGTTCCAATGGCTCACAGGGCATGTCGGAACTTTGTGTTTCACAGAGCTGGTGATGCCGTGAACTTCTTGCAACAACAAGGTGTTACAACTTTACCCTAGCCGGCTAAATCACCACAACTATCCCCTATTGAACATATGTGGGATGTGTTAGGTAGTTCAGTGCGTCTCCGGGACACCGCCCCAGCAAATCTTGATGTGTTAGGTAGAGCACTGCAGCAAGAGTGGCACTTGATTCCAGGGGCAACACTTTGGCGGTTGGTGTCCAGCATGCCTGCAAGGTGTCGTGCGTGTATTGCTGCTCATGGTGGACACACTCATTATTAAGTATATCTGACGTTCTTACTGTACAGTTGTGCTGATTAAGTTATACATACTTCACAAAGTCAAGTGGTTACTATATTTTTGGTGCCTAGTATATTAAAGAATGAAATCAATGTGATTAATTACAGGATAAAGTACACATTTGAGATCAATAATTCTTGTGCAAGACATTTGGAAGGGATCATCACTGAAGACATTGCACAAATCATTTCTAATGATCCTTCATAGGACTTATCACTTATTATACATATTCTGTGAATCATTTCTAATGATCCTTCTTAGGACTTATCACTTATACATATTCTGTGAATCATTTCTAATGATCCTTTTAGGACTTATCACTTATTATACATATTCTGTGAATCATTTCTAATGATCCTTCATAGGACTTATCACTTATTATACATATTCTGTGAATCATTTCTAATGATCCCTCATAGGACTTATCACTTATGATACATATTCTGTGAACCGTTCTAATGACACATCCTTTCATCAATCTAAGGGTGGAGGGGTAGCCTGGTGGTTAAAGTGTTCACTCATCAGGTTCAATTCCCCACATGAGTACAATGTGTGATGCCAATTTCTGGTGTCATTCCCCGTGATATTGCTAAAATTGGAGCCAAGCGTTTTAAAACTAAACTTGCTCACTTTTCATGAATTCGCAGAGCTCCAGATAAGATTTAGCTCATGTGGGTACTGTACTCACTGTATATTTTTGGAGTGGGTATTTCATTTTCCGTTACCCACTGCTTTCAAATATGTGCGTATTTCAGTCATTTTACTCACCTAAGTATTATGTCATTGAGTAAGTTTACTAAGCAGGTATGTTCTGCCTTATGTCATACCTAATCAAAACCAACTTAAATATACTGGCCACATAAAGAAACTGTGCACACAGAAAATATAAAGATAGTCAGACTGTCTTTATACATAAATAAAGGTGTGAACATAGCAAGTATTGGAGACAATCAAACACTCATGCAGGTGCCAGGCGACGTGACGTCATTGATGGTGGCCTATGGACTTGCAATGTGTTACTGCACGTGCAGCCTGTGCAGCTGCACACATGTAAAACTCAGAAATTGATGTCACTGTCGAAAGCTTGATCTTTGGTCATTCAAACGTTCACAAATTCACATGAGAATTCACATGCACATCATGCCAAAATTAACATCTGCTCAATGGCACGAAACCATTGGAATGGTTCGAGCAGGCATGAGCCAACAACAGGTGGCAGCACATTTCCAATGCCATCGTAACACGATATCTGCATTGGTCAGTTGTTATGGAAACAGTAATGACATCGCCGACCACCCACGTTTTGGGCGTCCCCGAGTTACGACGCCAAGACAGGACAGATGGATTCGAGTGAATAATCTCAGATACAGGTTCTAGACGGCAGTGACCACGTCCCA